AATTAACTTATACACTAGACAATGAAGTCAAGTGTCTCTGCTTATCATTTCCGGAAATATTGTTCTTAACTTCAGTTTGGTTTCGTATTTATCTATCTTAAATGGAGTTCTGTAATGGAGTTGGTAAATGGAATTATGAATGTTCTTTAGTTCCGGTTGGAAGCAGCTCCATTACTTTATGGGTATAATTGTCCGCGATTGTTAACCCCCTTTTGACACATTTTTTTAAATTTTGAGATACCGAAATTAATTTTAAATTGTTCTAAAACTGGAGTGCAATTGGAGTCACTTGTTTTACACGCAATAAACTAAATACATTTTCTAAACAGTCCTGGGTGAATCTTGATGTTAGTAAAAAACAATACAGTCGAGCCCCCTATAACACTGTTGATAATTCCGTTTTATATGAATTCTCAACAGTGTTATGGGGGGGGGTCGACTGTACTACGAACTGGATTCAAAATGACTTTAAAGACACCTCTAATGCATTCAGCAGAATAACAATACAAAAGTACACTAGTATGTAAAAAAATCATTGTATTGTGGCCGCCAGCGCCAGAGATCCTGAACACTGTCTGGCAACACTTGCCAAGATCACGAACTCTGTCTGGCAACACTTGCCAACAAGAGTGGCTGGCAACGTCAGTAAAAGAAAAGGCGCGAAAGTTCGTTGGATTTTGTCCGGGTGTTGCCCGAGGATGTCTGTGACAGTTCTAACCTTTTCTAATAAAGTTCTTTTTTGTTACTGTTCGTGTTTGCCTGCTTAATGTTAGATCTAAACATCAGTAGGATTGAATGACAAAGTATAATGAATTTTTATATGACTTCTAAATTGTATTAGCTTTACAAATGATATTTGAAATAATCATATATTGCCAAATAAATGCTACAAATGCTGCCTTTCAATAAGGTCCAAAGCACTACTGTGTTTTTGTATTAAAACTTAAATATGAACGTAAACATAAAATTATAGCAAATTCATGCCTACCTGTTGTCAAATGTGTTTAAAAATTTCTAGATTTTTTAGAAACGACTTTAAACAACACCTACCATTCAAAATATACAGAGCCACGCGCACGTTTTGTCAGAACATGGCGGATTTTAATCACGTAATACAACTAACCAATAGAAAATTTGACAACTCGCTGTCGCTACTTCTGATAATCTAGGTGCTCTAAGGATAACAGTCACCTGTTCCAAATTATTTTCGGAAATAAAAATATATCAAGGATCTCGAACAAGTCGTAAGCCTTAGCACCAGTAGTGATACAGAAGAGAAAGTCTTCTACAATGTTATTATTATCTACTAGCTGCAAGGACCCGCTTCGCTGGGTTTTTATTTGTGGGCAAAAAGTAACGATAGTGAAGATTAAGATAATTACATTATAGCCAATCTTACTTGTTTTCACAGAATGCAAGAATTAGGTCCCCCGTTTCCAGACTAATTAGAGAATTTTTACATGAGTCTAAAAATATGTTCGATTTCCCGCAAAAACGCAAAAACCGCCTGTAAATCTTGCATGCCGCGTTATATTAACATTTCCTTTCTTGCTCAACTCAACACTTCCATTGTTAATACTTCCACTGTTAACACTTCCATTGTTGACACTTTCATTGTTACACATCTTCGAAGTCAACCACTTTCAACCCCATATCTCCCGTACCCTTACAGCTATCGAGACGCAACCACCATAGTGCACGAATGGAGACTTGGGGCTACTACCACATACAAACACCATTCATGTGCGATGTGTAGTTTTGGCTGAAAAGTGAAATATAGGGACACACACGTCCATTTTTATATATATAGATATAGATACAGATAAACTGTACGTAACAAATCAAGTGAGCATCATTATTATTATTTGTGTCGTCATCCAGCTGCAACCCAAATTCCTTCCGTCTATTTTTTCAATAACTGAACATTAGAGGTCCTTCGCTATGTGCTGTATTCTATTATTTCTATAATATCTTTTCTATATTTCTAATTATGGAAATTATGTTTTACAGTTTAATTATGTAAATATTAATACGTATTCTTTAGCATAGGTTATGAAAGGTTGTTTTTTTCTATTATTCTGGAATTGTTAATTAAATATACTTAAATATATTTATAATTATATTAATGCTTTTATCAAAAATATAACTTATTACTTATTGTTTTTCAGAAAAAGTACGTTATAGTATGATACTAGGGCTAAGTATAGGAGGGTTACTGTTATTGGCTGGTGTCGTTATAGTTGCAGCATATTTTAGGTAGGAAAAACTTTACTATTAATATTAGTGTTAAAAATAAATTTCAATAAATACTATATTAAATAAACGATATATTAATAAATACTTTTGCATTTGTGCTCATTAGAAATGTAAAGTATTAAATTCAAATTTTCAAAATTCTTCATTCACTCAGTACACTTAGTACAGTATACTGAATGACATACTGTAAGCCTATTTACGAATGCTATGACGGACCTATATTTTTGGTACCCAGTTGTGGGGGACTCCTTTGCAACCAACGAACATCTAACATGGTTTAAGGCCTTGTCCTTGTACGGACCAACGAACATCTAACATGGTTTAAGGCCTTGTCCTTGTACGGACCAACGAACATCTAACATGGTTTAAGGCCTTGTCCTTGTACGGACCAACGAACATCTAACATGGTTTAAGGCCTTGTCCTTGTACGGACCAACGAACATCTAACATGGTTTAAGGCCTTGTCCTTGTACGGACCAACGAACATCTAACATGGTTTAAGGCCTTGTCCTTGTACGGACCTCCAGGTCCAAATAGTTGGTAAAATGGAGTCTTTGAAAATGGGCCATACGAAGACCCCTTCCCACAATCAACGAGATCTGGGTAACGGATGTGATTTTCAATGGCATTGTTCTATGGAAGATCACAATGTTTATTTAATTTAGTCATTACATCAAGTTTAATACCAGATTTTGTTTACACTTGATGTACTGTCTTATCTCAACTCCAAAACCATTAACAGGAATAAAAATTTCTTAAACCAGGTGTGGCACGCACGCCAAACGTGACACACCAATGACACGTAATCCACAGGCTGCCTTAAAAAATAAATATTCAACATCTCCGAGTTATGTATTTTAATAATACTTGTAGAATACAATTTTATCGAGTAGAGCAATTGCAAATAGAAATACAATAAAAACACAAGTACTACTAACTGTTTTAGTAATAATAATTAATAAGAAAATGTAACAAGCATCCTGTTTCTGAGATATCTATTTCTGCGATTTACTGACTTGCAAGCAGAGTTAACAATTTAGTGGAAAATCCACAAAATTGGCCCAGCATCCTAATAATAATATGCTCCAAAATATTTCGGTCGGCACGTTAAAAAATTTTTCATCATATCTTTGATGATTATGACACGCGCACTTAAAAAGGTTGTTCTAGTCTATTCCTTATCGTTATTGAGTTATGGATGTCTTGGGGCCATATAAAGTGGGTATTAGAACATATTCTGAGATTAATATTAAGTACTTCAATCCACTGGCTTATTATTTTATCACTAAAATAGCCCTACTTTAATAACGAACAGTTAAAAACCGATTTTGTTGAAAATTTACTCATTAAAAATAAAATTGCTTCAAGCCTCTACAGGATTAGATACCCTGAAGCTTAAGCCCAAAGGCGGATCTACATAGGGACTAATAGAACTTAAGCCCTGAGCCCCCAAGTATCAAGGGCCCACAAAAATTGAATTATCATCATATATTTTTAATACTTTTCATTAACAATGAGCACTTATCGTCATTCAAAACCATTTCATANGCATCTAGGAGAACGTGTCGTTTACGTAAAACGACACATGGGCGATTTTCCGTAAACGAATAAAACCCAAACCTATATGATTTCCGGAATTTTTATTTTACAATTGACAAACTGAACCATTGTAAAATTGATATACAATCGGGCGAATCTACATAGGGACTAATAAGACTTAAGCCCTGGGCCCCCAAGTGTCAAGGGCTCACAAAAATTTAATCATTACAATAAATTTTTAATACTTTTCATTAACAATGAGCACTTATCGTCATTCAACACCATTTCATAAATAAGTATATTTCAACTCTGATTTTGATGTTATTAAAAATAAATTTTAAAACCCATTTAAATGTTTTTAATCTAACAAAAAATGAGGCCTATTGGACTTCAATAGTCCTCATTTTTTGTTAGATTAACAAGCCCTAGGCCCCGAAAAACGTAGATTCTCCCCCTTAAACTTCATTAGTTTCATAGTGGATCTATTACTGATTCAGAGTATTAAGAGTAATACTGAGTCACTAACACTACTTATAAATTCATAAAAAACTTTAAGTATTCTTCAGAAATTTATATTTTTATACTGAAAATTTACAATGTACAGTCAAACCTTGTGTTTCGAACTTAATTCGTTCCTAAAAATTGTTCGAAAACCGATTTGTTTACAAACTGAAACAAATTTTTCTATAAGAAACAACGTAAAATGGATTAATCCGTTCGTGATGTGTGAAATTTGGGTAGAACGTGCTATTTTTAAGGTGGGGTAGACGGTCAGTGTAGCCCACACTAACTAACTACTACTATAAATGTGAATAAGTCGTTAATTGTTTCATCACCTTATAAACGAAAATTCCGTTCCTGCTTTTAAGTCAGTCAAATTACCCGAAAGAATGTTATCTTTAACGTTTAAGTAACAAGTAGATTTGTAGGATCTGATTAATTTCATATTTTAGCTGCAGTTTAACCGGCATGCCAATAACCTTACTGATCTCCCCCGCTTTTATGCAGCATGCAGGTAATTTCAAGAAAATACGGTTAGTTTTAAGTATTTTGTTAAAATATTTATTATAATTTTTTTAATGTATTACCNATTTTTGTTTATCACATTTATAATAATTAATATTTTGTCTAATGTGTGATTAATTCAATTAATAGAATAGTTCTTTTTATATTTCAAAAAATAATTTAAAATTTTTGTTGTAAAATGTTTTAATAGATTTTTACGTGTTCTGAAGATGGAGAAGTTTTTTTATGGGAATATGAAGATGGCTTAATATTAAAGGTAACATGTGCTTCTAAAAAATTTTATATATAATTAATTACATTTCCATGCATAGAAACATATCTTGTAATTTTCTTTCTTTTTATTTATTATTTTTATCTTTTAGACATACAACTTAAATTTCCAAAATCCAATCAAAGCATTTTATATTCCACATAAAGAATTTTCTTGGTATGTGATTGTGAAGAAAAACAATGAAGGTATTACTTCTTAGTTTTTTCAATTTTGAGATTTTATAAATTTATACTAACATATATGCAAATTTACTTATAGATTTTTATAGGTTGTTTCATGTTCCAGTTAATGCTGGAAATGTAAAACAAAAAAGATTTCTTTTAAAACCTGTGCTTCCCAAACAGAACTGTGTCTCATTTGGATCTAAAGTAAACTACTTAAATATTAAGCATTCTTAAGTTTTAATATTTTTCAAATTTATGATTTTTGTTATTGTTATAGGAAGAATATGTAGCTTCTGTAAATGATAATAGTTTGAGAGTTCTGCATATCTCCAGTAATTCTTTTAAAAGGTAAATTTGAAAAAAAGTAATAATTTTAAGCTACATTAGTTTACTAGGCAAAGTTTGCATGTAATAAAGAAAATCTGTATTAATTATTTTTCATTTTGAATAACAAATTGCATTTTTATTATATACATATTTTTTTAACTTTTATAATATAATTTGCTTTGTGAATAATGTAAGTATTGTATTCTAAGTATTGTGATTTGTTGATTCTAATATGCACCATTTTTCTCTCTCAAAAGTTGAGGCATGCATATTAAATCAGGCACAAAGTCAACTTAATGTAGCCTCATTAATGCCATTTGTTCTGAAATTTTCATGTATTGGTAAACATGACATACTTCCCTCAATCTGCCTCAATATGTAAAACTTTAGAATCTTTCTTAAATTTTGTAAGTTTAAACTTATCTGTCCTGGCAATTTTTTATCCAGTAAAGCTATGTTTAAGCAGAATTATTATCCACTTCACTGAAAAACATGCATACATATATTTCAGTGTGATACTATTGTAAGGCCAGGAACACACATGCATAAAATTGTGTGGCAGAAAACTGAATCAGAAATCAGCCTTCAGTTCAGTTTCTGTTTTATGCTTTTATGCCAGAACACACATAAGTAAAAGTTCTGGCCAAATAGGAAATGGAAATGTAACATCGTCATATGTAGTTTAGTGAAATGGCACTGTCAGTATCTGATGATGATATTTGTTGGTGGTTGTATTCCACTCAATCATTGATGATACAGTAGAGCGTCGATTATCCGAATCAATTGGGGACTGGGGTTGTTCGGAAGATCGATGTTTCGGATAACCGATTATGTACGAAAAAATATATTAATTTATCCCATCTTGACATTTTTCTCCATTCCGTGTCACTTTGCGTTGAATTTTTGTTGATGTTAAGCCTAACGAAAACTATTGTATTATTAAAAATTATTTTTTTATTTTGTACGAACAAAATAAATATATTGAAAAATATAAAAACAATAAAAAATTATACTTCAGAAGTTAATTTAGTATCAAAAACGTAAAATATTTGAGTAGCTCAAGACATAGCCAAAGATTGCAGCGCCACACACTAGCGAAAATTTAAATTTGTCGACTGGAATTCCTTCGGATAATTCGGATAATCGACGCTCTACTGTATTTTAAAATATTTAAGAAATTTTTCTAAATATTATACTTTTTAATAAATATTAATAATATGAAATCATTTATATTTTATAGCAAATTATTTATTTATTTCATTAATAAATCTACATTTTCAGAAACAATCAGAAAATAAAGAAGAAAAAGCATAAAAAAAAATAAAAACTAAACTCTTGTATAATTTCTTAAATAACATTTAGTTTATTTATTTTCATTTATAATTTAATTTTCTTCAAATGTAATAACAATTCATGTAAATATAATTAAAGGGATCAATGACAATTGCCCTTTAACAAAGTACATAAAGTACTAATTTTCTTTTTATAATAATATAAATTTTTAAACTATTATTACTTGCATTATATTTCCATTGAAGCTCATTATCTTTGCAGTTTGAGCCCATATGTAATTTTATAAAGTAACTTTATATTCAATAAAATTAGACAATGTAATGTAAGAAATTCCCACAAAGATTTGGGAAAATTCTCTTCACAATATTAAACAAAAACATTTTTAGATTTTCCGATAGATTCTCATATATCCTTATATTTTTGTAAAATATTTCAACGAAGATTGCTTGAAATCTTCGGAAAACAAGTACTTAGATCTATTGTTGTTTACTTGTAGTGTCTCGATTGTTTTTCTTTCGGTGAAATCTGTTTATAACGTTAATAAACCCTTAATAAAACGGAAACGGGAAAGAATTCCTCGGAACGTAGTGTTTTCTTGCAATTTACAAAGGGAAAATAACTGTTACAAAAGAAGTAAATAACTGCTTGCAATAATCATAGTTGACTATAAGTTCTCCAACGTGTGTGATGGCTGGATGGCCAAGCGATCAGGGTGGCAGCCTACTGCTCTGGTGGAACCGGGTTCGAATCCAAACAGGGTCAAAAAATCCCCAGGAATTTTTTCGGGGGTGGTCCGTTCGGATATGTTCGGGCCCCGTTCCTCACCACCCGGCAACCCCATTGTGGTCCTGTGTGAACCCATAATGGGCTTGCAAAGACAGGCCCTCTTAGTGCCCACAGGGAAAAGAGTTTTTAAAAAAAGCTCTGCAATGTTTTCAATTACAGTTATTGTCCAATTGCAATTATAGTGTTTATGATAAAATTGTCTCAATTCTTTTAACTGTATAAATTGGAAGTGTTTAATATTATTTTATATCAAGTTCAAAGATTAACAACAATTTTCGTACTCGAAATTATGTTTATGTACAGTACAATATGTAAAAACTTTAATAAATTTTATATGTAAAATAATGATAATGGTGTTTTTTGTAGGATTTTAGGATCAGCAATTGCCAATAAATATAATCATATTTTCTTTACTGTAATTATAGTAATTGTTGAAGAGACTCTCACCAGGTCCTTGGATATATTTTATGGGTATCGGTCAGTGAATATTTAAGAGAAAAAATTTATACAAGCAAAAAATACGTGGCATATGCATAAGCACACGTCCACGGTCAATTTCTAGGTATAAAACTTTACAGCATGTGAAATATGATTTGTACCATGAAGGTCAACAAAATCTATATGTAAACGGGCCGTTCTAGTGAAACTGTTTAATGCGGAAAGCATCATTTCATACAACAAATTACATATACATATTAAATTTGTGTACAGTAAAAAGCTCTAATTAAAATTAAAGTATGAATTGTTGCATTTTATTGCAGAAAAGAATAGAGTGTTATTTCTTGAAAGGTACCACGTGATGTCAGATTTCTTAGATGACCCGCATGACGAAAACAATAATACATTGAAACTCACGAGGCGTATTTCCAACTTCATTTGCTGTGAGTAATGTTTTGATTGCATTGTACAGCCCTTGCGCTGATTGAACAGTAGGTACAGGACAAATTTCAATTAGTGTACACAAATTAAATTTATTTTGTAAGGCTGGATTGTTATTTACATTATAATTCTAAACAGATTATTTAAGTTATACAACACAACTTGTCTAAAACGGAACCTGTTCAAAACGGAAAACTAATTTGATACCGTGCAACTTTGATTTACACAGATTTTACTGCAACAAGTTTCTTTTTATTAATACTTCTTATAAAAAAATTAATTTAATCTTTTACATAAGTAGGCTTATCCCATAGAGGAATAACGCGATAATAGTAAACATTATCAACCGAATTTCTTCAGCTTGTAATATTATTTATAGACTTTACTAATTAGATAAAGTTAAGGCATATTTTCGTCTTACTTACAATATAAAGCATATTATCATCAATTTAAAAAAATTATAGAAATTTTTGTTTTATTGTTTATTAATAATATAAAAACAAGTGACTTCTTTAACTTCTTTACCAACATTTTTACTGTAACAAACAGCGATATTACAATGTTATTTTACAATAACAGTGTGTTTTCTAGTCCACTATACAGCTGTAGTTCATTATAATTTTATGATACTACTGACTGTTCAGATTCATGTAAATCCTATTTGAGTGCTTTTGTTGTGTAGTTTCTAAAACATAACTTAATAGTAAATTAAACGTCACATAGCACATAACTTTTGTGCATTACATACACATTAATAGAATTTGCGTGGCCCTAGGCAAAATTTTTTTAGGCCACTAAAAGAGACAGAGGTAGAGGGTGCAATTGTTTAGGTCTACTAATATGAATAAGAATGCTTTTAATAGAAGAAAATAAAATAATAAAGAAAGAAACACGTTTGTAATAGTTTTCCAATGGATTGGAAAACTCAGCAGTTGCACAGAAATTCTTTTCTATTTAGAAGCTTTTAATTAACCAAATTAAATAATAAGGTACTTCTACAGCAATATCTCTTTCAATAAACAATATCGAAAGGGAAAAAAGTATCTCTTCACACATTGTTGTTTGGAGAGAGTTTTGGATCAATTCTTCCTTTGAAAATGCTCGTTCTGCCGATGCAGCGAATGCCAGTGCAGTTATATTATCAATAATTATGAATTTCGATTTAACTACTGTAAAAAATTTGCAAGACAACGGCAAGCGTGAGATCCTGGGCATTGACTTTTTTTTTTTTCTATATGTAAAACCATATGATTTTCTAACATAATAGGCAGTTAAAGCATCAACTACCACTATGGCCCAGAAAATTTTCGAGGGGTGGTCAGTCCTATATACATCAGGCCTGTCCCTCACCACCCAGCGCTCCAATTATAAGCTCACTAAACCTACAATGGGTACGGAAAAGGTGCTCATAAGCACAGAAAGAGAAAGCAATTAAGAAAAGTGCTTTACGGCGTGAGGTCTTTGCAATATCTAAAATCTATAAATTAAAAAAAGAATTATTTCTCGTTTGAAAAACTTTACTGTAAATAACGATAGATTAGGTAATTTTATGCACATTTCTCTATGTCCATAGTCCATGATATTTCTTAATTGTTTATGAATATGCAGTAAACCCTCGCTTTAACGAACTAATTGAGGAAAGAGGTGTCCGGTATTGTGAAAAATCAGTTTTAAAAACATATATTAACAACAAACTTAAAATGTACAAGATTTTTTTAAATGTTATAACGTGTAAGAAAGAATAAAATACAATTATTACCTACAGTACACAGACAAATTTATACTCATTGATTCGTTGTCCCAACCGTTTGACATATTCTGAAAGGCTTTATATTTTAACTGTACAAAAAGAAGTTTGTTCATTAAATCGGAGTATGTTAAATCGAAGGTTTACTAAATATAAATTATATTAAATCTCATACTGATATTCAAACAATTGTTCAAAATATCCTTTTGTGAACAACTTCTGGAAAGCATTAAAAATGACCGATTCATTTTTTTTAAGAAAAGCACCGCTTCTGGTCGGTTTGTTGCATTTTCCTTCTGGATTTTTCACACTTCTAATATTCAGCAATCCTTCAAATACGGAATGA